TTGCGATCCCGTTGCCGGTCCCGGTCCGGTACGGGCGCAACACTGAGGGTTGCGATCCATTGCCGGACACGAAAAAAAAAAGAAGATGACATCTAAGAGAGGCCTGAAAGTCCCCGTGCATAGTGACACAGTAATAGTGACCTAATTGCCACCGACAATTTGCCAAGCCCTTAACTGTGTTGAGGGCTTCACAAGCTTCCCATCCCTAAATTTCCACCACGACCTTAGGAGCAGGGACAGGTGAGAAGCTCGGCACAGAGCTGGCACTAGTATTGTTGACATGCCTGCTGGTGAAGCACAAAAGCTCTGGAGCCAGCTGCCTGGGCTCAAGTCCTGGGTCTGCAACCTCCCAGGATCGTGCATCTGTGAAACAGGGTTAATCACTCCACTTTCCTCATTAAGTCAAGCTTGGGTGAAAGGACTTATTCTATGCAACTTGGTGTTGGGACAGTGCCTGGGGCGAAGCTGGCATTCAGTTGTGCTGCTACTGCTGCTGCTGATGATGACAGTGACGATGTGGCATTCAAGAGCAGAGGTGCTGGGAGTGGCTCCTGCCTCCACCACTCACTGGCTGCAAGGCATGGGCTAGTGATTGGATCTCCTGTGCCTCAGTCTCCCCTTCTGTGAAATGGGTATAATCGTCATGCTGGCCCCTCTCAGGATGTGCAGCACAATGCCTGGCACAGCGCCTGCACTCCATGCACACTTCATGCACCTACACTAATGCGGACCCAGGGTTCAACCCCCCAACTTTCTGGAATCTTAACAGCAGGACAGTTTGGGGGAGAGAAAGGGAAACAAAACCTCAGCCTAGCCAGGACCCTCCATGCTCTACTGAAGAAGGAAGGGGCCCTGCAGGGCCTCCGGGAAGCGACACTCAGCCTCATAGCTCCTTCCCCAGACTCAAACCCAGACCTTTATCAGACCCTGGGGGTGGGGACTTGAGGGAGGCAGGTGGAAGGGCAGCAGGTATCAAAATCACCCCCTCCTTCCTTCTCCACTTGAATCTAACATCATTTATTATTATTATTATTATTATTTGGCAGCTGGCAGGTAAGGGGATCTGAACCCTTGACCTTGGTGTTATCAGCACCACACTCTAACCAGCTGATCTAACCAGCCAGACCCCTTGAATCTAACATTGATGATGTAAGACAGCTGTGGCGCACATTTATTAAGAACTTACCATCTGGCACAGTTCTCTTTCATGTCATCTTACAGAGGAAGAAAGAGGCACAGGGAGGTCAAACCACTTGCTCAAATCCATGCATCTAGGAGGCAGTAGAGTCACAATTTGAACCTGGGGTTTGAGAACGTGGTCCCGGCCCACTCCCTACTGCTTTATTGTATTGCCAGATACAAGTATTACTATTAATAAAACTAGATAGGGCTGGCCCATTAGCTCACTTGGATAGAGCATGCTGCTGATAACACCAAGGTCAAGGGTTTGGATCCCCATACTGGCCACCTGCCAACAAAATAAAAAAATAACACTTGCAGGCCGGCCCGTGGCTCACTTGGGAGAGTGCGGTGCTGATAACACCAAGGCCACGGGTTCGGATCCTATATAGGGATGGCCGGTTTGCTCACTGGCTGAGCGTGGTGCTGACAACACCAGGCCAAGGGTTGAGATCCCCTTACCGGTCATCCTTAAAAAAAATAATAATAATAATAACACTTGCTAAGGCTTATGTGGTGCCCACTATGGGTAGGCACTGCCGTAAACAGCCCCCATATGGGAATCTTCACGACCACATTTTGAGTTAGGGAAGGCTATTGTCTTCTTTTGACAAATAGAGAAACTGAGGCTCAGAGAGGATAAGTTACTTGCACAAAGTCATCCAGCCAGATTTGAGCCCTACAAAGACCAAGATTTTACGCTATCTCTGCCCAAAGAAGAGGGGGTCTTCCACATTCCCACCAACCCCCTCCCTGCTCTGAAGGTGATGCAGGGGGATGTGGGCACTACCAGGCCCTCACCCCAGCCTAGGCAGCGCTGAACCTTGAAAGAACCCCTGTGACAGGGGCCCTGAGATGTTTTCAGGCAGTAAATAGAACCCAAAAGCCTGGGCCCAGTGCCCTGGAATCTGAAACTCAAGGCCTGTTTAGCTGAAAAATTCATGAGCCCAAAAGCTTCAGTGCGATCAGAGAACAGAGAAGCTCTGTGTGTTCTGGCTTTGCCCAGCCCAGCCCGTCCCGCCTCAGCTGCAACCTCCCCCGTCACCCAGAGGCTGTGGGCTTGTCCCAGTTCCTCCAAAATGCCTGTGGCCTCCCCCTCAGGGACCCTGCCTCTAGGCCTCACCTTCAATAGCTTTTTCACACCAGTAAAGGGATCTTTCTGAAACACAGTTACCAGGCCCTCACTCACTCTCACACCCGCCATGGCTCCCTATTGCCCTCAAGCCACCCCTCCTGAAAGAGTAAGACCCCTGCTAACCTCTGCTGCATGGTGCCACTTGAACCCATTGCCCAGACACACTGACTTCCCTAATTTTAGTTTGTCTCTCTCTTTCTCTCTTTCTTCTGGAACTTGACCCCTCGGTGCAGAATGCCCGCTTCCTTTTGCTTTGTCTGCCTCCTTCTTACATGACTCATATCCCCTCTGCCTGCGGGAAGCCCTCTCTGACCTCCCACCCCATGTCTAGGGCAGATCCCTCCTCTGGGCTTTCCTGATGCACGTGCTTCCTACCACAGCTTTGTGGCACCATATTTATAAAATTCTTTTTAAATTATTTTTTGTTGTGGTGAAATATACATAACATAAAATTTACCATCTTCACATGTTTAAGTGCACAGGTCAGCGGTGTTAAGTACACTCACCCTGTTGTGCAGCCACCACCACCTTCTATCTCCAGAACTTTCCATCTCCCCAAACTGAAACGTCCACTAAACACTCACTCCCCATCCCCCTCCCCAGCCCATGGCACCCACCATTCTACTTTCTGTCTCTATGAATGTGACTACTCTAGGGACTCCTACAGGTGGAACCATACAGTGTTTGTCCCTTGGTGATGGGCTCATTTAAATCTAATTTTTGAAATAGAGCACAGTTTTTTTGTTTTATTTTTTTGTTTGTTTTTGGCAGGTGGCCCATATGGGGATCAGAACCGTTGAATGTTGGTGTTATAACACCATGCTCTCACCAACTGAGCTAACCGGCCACCCCCTTGAAATAGAGTTTTAATTACCCAAGAAACTCATGAATGTTTTCTATCATTAAAAGAGAGAGAAAGAAAGAAAGAACGTTACAGATCAGAAAAAAGTCCCCCTTGCCAACCCCCATCACCCAATCCTGGTCCCTCTGATAACTACTGACTTGTTCAGATGTGTTACATGCAGATGTGAGTGTGTGTGTGTGTGTGTGTGTGTGTGTGTGTGTGTGTGTGTTCTCTGTCTCTCTCTCTCTTTCCTGTTCAGATGTGTTACATGCAGATGTGAGTGTGTGTGTGTGTGTGTGTGTGTGTGTGTGTGTTCTCTGTCTCTCTCTCTCTTTCTCTTATGGGACTAGTCGACTAAATACAACTTGCTATTTTTACTTAAAATATAAGCCGGAAGCCTAGCTGGGCTGCTCTGGGAGGTGTAAGGCTGAGTGATGGGGAGTGTCTGTGCATTGAGAAGTGAGACCCACAGACATGGGTCAAGCCCTTGTGCAGCCTCATGCTCACTGTGTGACTGTGGGTAAATGGCTTAACCTCCCTGTGTCACTTTCCCCAACTGGAAAATGGTTATAAAGATTCATATAAAGCACTTAATGCCTTGACTGATGCTGAGTAAGCTCTCTATAAACATTCACTCTTGTTATAACCCGCAGAGCCACCTCCTTCTTTCTTAAACTATTTAAATTTTTTTTCATTGTTAAATGTAGCACATATTAAGAAAGGAGAAGTCAAGTATTCACAAAAAGAACCCACCTGTGAAACCACAATCCTGTTTCCCCCCCGGAAGCCACCCCTGGTGTCCTGCCACTCAATATAGCCCCTAAAGGCAACTGCTAATCTATGTTCTGTCACCATAGGTTGATTAGCTAACCTGTCCTAGAAATTTATAAAAAATTATGTCTGGCCTCTTTCACTCAGCATAACGCTTTTTTTTTTTCTTTCTTTTAGAATCATCCACATTGTTGTGTGTATTGAGGTGTTTTTTTTTTTTTTGCCGAGAATTATGGTTTGTTTAACCACTCACTTGTTGATGGACATTCGTGTTACTTCCAATTTTTTTGGCCATTATGAATGAAGCTTCTAGAAAGCTGCTATGAACATTCACATAAAAGATTGTATGGGCTTTTTTCTTTTCTTATAGTTTAAGGGTTTTACTTTCCTTGCGTAAATACCTAGGAGTAGAATGTCTAGGTCATGTGGTTGATGTCCGTTTAACTTTACTAGAAACTGCTAGACATTTTTCCGAGTGGTTGTGACATTTTACATTCCCACCAATAGGAGGGTCCCATTTGCTTCAGATCCTCGACAACACTTGATATGGCCAGTCTTTTTAGTGTTAGCTATTCTGTTTTGTTTGTTTGTTTGTTTGTTGGCTGCTGGCTGGTAAGGGATCAGAGCCCTTGACCTTGCTGTTATAGGCACCATTCTCTAACCAAGAGAGCTAACCGGCCAGCTCCAGTTTTAGCTATTCTGGTGGGTGTGCAGTGGTCTCTCACTGAGGTTTTAATTTGCATTTCCCTGATGATTTCATTCTTTTTATCTGTTGCATGGTATTCCCTCTTGTGACCACACACCATCGTGTCGTAGCCACTCTCCTGTGGATGGACTTGCACGTTTTTGCTCATCTTTCACTATCAAGGTTGCTCATAACACCCTTTGGTGTGTACACCCCAGGCACACACGCCTGCGATGGTTTCTCCAGGGTCAGTGCCAGAGGGGAATCGCACAGGGTGAGCATGGTTTGAAGTTAATCTCTCTGCCAGAGAACACTCTGCCCAGCAGCAGCTGCTCATCACCAGTTTGATATCACCAAACTCTCAAGTTCTTGCTAATCTGATGAATGGAAAATGGAATCTTTTTGTCCTCTCACTGGCGCACAGTCAGCGCTCGATACGAATATCTACATGATGAATAAATGAATGGATGAATGAATGAATGACAAGCCGGCCTCTCCTTGCCCACCACGCACACCAAGAGGGTCCTGGGAGAGCCCGGACTGGAAACAAACGTGGGGGCCCCACCCCACCCCACCCGGGCCGGCCCCGCCC